AAGATGCTCCATATAGCTAATCATCAGAGAAATGTAAATTAAAACCACAATGAGATATCACCTCACACCAGTAAGGATGGCCAACATCCAAAAGACAAACAACAACAAATGTTGGCGAGGATGTGAAGAAAGGGGAACCCTCCTACACTGTTGCTGGGAATGTAAATTAGTTCAACCATTGTGGAAAGCAATATGGAGGTTCCTCAAAGGACTATAAAAATAGAAATACCATTTGACCCATGAATTCCACTCCTAGGAATTTACCCAAAGAAAACACGATCCCAGACTTAAAAAGACATATGCACCCCTATGTTTATTGCAGCACTATTTACGATAGCCAAGATATGGAAGCAACCTAAGTGTCCATCAACAGATGAATGGGTAAAGAAGAGGTCATACATATACAAAGTGGAATATTATTTAGCCATAAGAAGAAAACAAATCCTACTATTTGCAACAACATGGATGGAGCTAGAGGGTATTATGCTCAGTGAAACAAGCCAGGTGGAGAAAGACAAGTACCAAATGATTTCCCTCATTTGTGGAGTATAACTACAAAGCAAAACTGAAGGAACAAAACAGCAGCAGACTCACAGAACCCAAGAAGGGACTAGCGGTTATTAAAGGGGAGGGGTATGGGAGGATGCATGGGACTGGGGGAGAAGGAGATTAAGGGGCATTATGTTTGGCACACATGGTGTGAGGGGTTCACGGGGAAGACAGTATAGTGCAGAGAAGACAAGTAGTGACTCTGGCATGTTGCTATGCTGATGGACAGGGACTGCAGTGGGGTGTGGCGGGGACTCTATAATATGGGTTATTGTAGTGACCACAGTGTTGCTCATGTGAAACCTTCATAAGGTTACCAATCAATGATAGCTTAATTAAAAAGAAAAAACAGACTGAGAAATAACACAATACTTACAGGAGACAAAGAATTAACATTAGTAATCAGTACAGAACTACAAATCATAAGCAAAAGACAACCCTCCCACCTAAAGTGGAAAAAAGGATTTGAACATCTGAATTACAGAAACAGCAGTACAATTGGCCAGTAAAAACATGGGAGGAAGATCAATTTCAGTAGCCACAGGGGAAATACAAAATAAAACAATGATAACTCATTTCTTTTAAGCCACCATTTGTTTTTTCCCTTTTTTAAATCTCATGGACACTTCTAATTGTGGAGATGCCTGTGTCCCTCTTTGCACTGGCTTCTAGGTTGCTCAGAACCAATTTCATACAAGTCTCTAGGACCTGACAACACACATTTTATAATATAAGCTCATTTTTTTACTTCATTTAATTTTGTTTCTTACTACCACACAGACCCAAGAGTTTCATAAAATAATCTTAACGATTGAGGAATAAATGGTATGATCTCTAATGATAAGAGAAATGCATATAAACCTCCATTATCTGAAGCAGGATTTGAAGTGAAGGAAAAAGCACACACAATCATCTCAAAAGAGTTGGTGGTTGGTGACAGGCCAGCAGATACTGTCACTGGCTCAGAAGCGGTTTGTACAGACCCAAGCCCTGGTTCCGACACGGACCATGGGAGAGAGGTACCAAAAAGAAGGCTTCTCTTTCTCCGGGGAGCTTGTTCAACACACATGGCTCTGCTGACCTTCCCCTGGGAGATCCTAAGGGGTCCCAGGTGAGCGAGTTTGTGTGGGGGCAGGGCCGGAGCAAAGGGGCAGATGGGGAAAGTGAGGGGCGTGAGCCCGAACTGGAAAAGAGAGACTGGGTAGAGGGGCTGATGAGTTCACCTTCCTTCAAGGAACTAGGAACAGACACAGTTTATCTGTGGCCACTGCAGAGAGTTAGTAAGCAGGAAAAAGGCATTATGGAGCAAGGGATGCCCTCACTCAAGAAGCGGCTTTATAAGAGCTTTCCAGCCATGGGAGGCCTGTCTTGTGCGGTGATGCAGGCCACATTCTTGAAAGCATCCCAGCAGAGGATGGAAGTGAGCCTGTCAGAAATGCACCTGGAGGAATTTGTCCACAGGCTGGATCCTGACTGGGCAGGAAGACTTCTAGTCCTTCCAACCCTATGGTGCAATGAGTATCACTCAGGATGCTCGATTTCTCATCTGGGCTGAGGCTATTTAATCAGCTGGTCACTTGCCATCACAAGAAATGAACCTGCACCCCTGACATACAGTTTATGGATCTGGACCTAGCATACTGATGAACACGAAAATCAGGAATAGATGGAACATGTAGTGATCCCAGCATAAAGCCTGCAGGTCCCCAACCTCTTTCTCTCATATGGGGGGTCTGGGGGTATCAGAACTTACCTCCCACTGTGCTCCCATCCTTGCAGCCCCACTCCCAACCTTCATGGGAAGATGCTGAGAGAACGGGACTCCAGAAGCCCTGGGTTGGAGAAGTGCCACCTCTGTGTGTGCCTGGCTCAGCATGCCCCAGACACAGACTGCCTGACTGGAGACAGACCTCATTAATGTCCTAGCTAATTGGATCTGCTTTTGTCAAACTCAGAATATACTTGGAAGACTGCACATCTTTTATTCTATTATGACATAAATTTAGTAACTGCCTGTGTGTGTGTGTGTGTGTGTGTGTGTGTGTGTGTGTGTGTGTGTTGGGGGAGGGCAAGAAAGAAATCCTGCTATAATCAATGCAAGCCTTGATTATAAGTGAATCTCCATTTTGAAAAAGATAAAATGTAAAAAAAAAAATGTCTTTCTGAGACAATGGTGGTAAGGTTCTGTCCCAGCACCTGTGATGAGGCAACCAGGCGACAAGGCTGCAGCAGGATCTAAGGGTCACCAGAAAGAAAACGGAGCACAAGGAAGTTTGGGTGGGAGGAAAGTGAGGGAGGAAGGCGGCTAGCCCTGGGGCACCCTCCCAGTACCCTTCACTGGCCAGCCCAGGGCTTCCCTAGCATGGGGCCTGGGGATGCATCGGCACCTGATGGGCAGCTTCTCCAGGGTCCCATAGGGCAGGGTGTTGCTGACCCGGCTGCAGGGCCTGCAGGGTACTCTGGAGTGGGGCAAGTCTAGGTTTGAGCCCAGCCCAAGCCACAAGCGAGCATCCCAGAGGGCCAGAAAGCTCTGCTTCCTTTACCTTCCTGCCAACGCCAGACAGTGATGGTGTGCTCAGGGTCCACTCCCACCGAGACAAGCAGCTTTCCAGTCGCACTGAAGTTGATGTAGTTCACCCCCTTTGAGTGGAAGCACCTCAACATGGAGAGCGTGTGTTTGGTCATGGCATCCCACACGTGGATGGAAGGTGTCGTTCCTGAACGCGGGAGGTATAACAAAGATCTAAGGCTAGAGAATGGCTGAGCCAGGCCCACAGTTATGTTTGGCTACAAGCATTTTTAAGACAAGTGTTCAGGGATGTTACAGTTGTTGGGCATAGGAGACCTACAGCCTGGCCTGGCCAGAGGTAAAAGACAACAGGAAATTTCTGCTATGCTTTTAGAGGCAGAGTCCTAAGGGTATTTGTGTCCAACACGCACACTTGTGGAGGGGTTTATACACAGGAAACTGGTGAAGTCAATGATTTGTATCTGCACCTTCTCCAGATACAATCAGCAAACATGATACATTGGCATGATCTTGCTGTGCAGATTCAGACTACTCACGGATGGAACAGCCTTACCTGGGGTCTCCAGAACATCACCTGCATTGGATCAATGGCAATGAGGAAGCGTCAAGGGAAAACAACAGCCAAAATAAGTCATGTTTCCAAATAATGAAGCATTCAACATCAGCATCAGAAAGTTCCAAATTAAATTAAAAAATGGATATGGGTTTAATGAAAACAAGCAGGAAGATGTTTGTAAAAAGTGCCTTTGGGATGACAAAGTTAAAAAGAACTTTTCACAAATGTGAATCGGTTCACATTTGTCACTGGCACTTTCCTAGGATACGGTACAACCAGGCACACATTGCAAACTACCCTTGCAAAGCCATCACCAGGCTTCAATGTGGGGCTCTTCGTTTGACACTCAGGATCTGAAAAACTGTCCTCACAAGTCCACAAGGACAGGGCTCAGCCATTTCTTTGGATTATCAGCTCTGGTCTGACTTTTTGGTCCCTTAGAATCACCAGTCACCAGATGTGCCAACTCAGACACGTTCAAAGCTCAGAAACTCAACAGTAAAGTCAACAAGAGGGAGGTGATGTCAGCAACCCACCCATTCCCTCTCCCAATAATTGCCAGTAAGCTGACATCTACGTTCAGCTGGGAGAACCTCAGCTGCTGTAGGACCCTCCTACCTATCTGGCTGGTGGCCACCACGTTTCGGTATTTGGGGTGCTGGTTCACTGTGAGGCAGAGGATGTCATCTGTGTGCTCCAGGTAGAAGCTCTGGCTCCCTAGGAGAGAGACATGGGAGGGTGAGCAGGAAACCTGAAGACTCTCAGGTGACCCCAGAGCTTTATAGCGAGTAGGAAATGTTTGTGAAAGTGAGAGCTTAAAGCCCCAAACTCTCACTTTTAGAATCATCCTTGGGGAGATGGGCTGGTGTCTGTTCTCTAACACACGCAAGGCCTACTTTAGTCCTTTCGGCTTCCTAAGTTGCTCCAGGACACAGTGCAAGTATCAGGCTTCCAGGGTCCAGGACAATAATGGAGGAAATACTTTAGCAGCCAAAATGGCACCACTTACTTCATGAGAAGGGGAAAACGCAGTCTTTTCTTTAGTTCCCTGAAATGCCAGGGGGACAGCCAACACAGAATTAGTGCAACAGTAAAGTGCTTAGGGAATCCCTTTGTCATTTGTAGTATCAAAACGCCAGTCCACTTCAGTGCCTGGATGGCACAGGTGAGAGCTTCACCTCCAAAAGCCCTAACTCAATAGATGTCACAGGAAGTTGAAGAAAGGACAAGGAATACTTTATCATCTATCGTGGCAAATGGGTTTGCTAACCTCCGATCTGGCCACTGTAAACCCACCCAAATGCCCAAGAATCAATAGGCAAATGATAGCCTTGATATACAAGAAAATAGCACATTGCTACTAAAATGATGATTATGTGGCTAGAAAATTGAGAAAATGTACATAAAACTTCAAGGCCCTCTTCCCCCAAAAGACAATTCATTATATGCCCAGTGATCACTGTCTAAAAATCTATGCATGAACAAGCACACAGAATTGGGAAGCATAAAAATTTGATAAAAAAAAAAAGATGCTAAGATATATAGGAGATAAGTCAAATGCTAACATATATAAGTCTGGTGGTAAAGATATGGCTGTCTGTTAAATTAATGTCTCAATGCTTCTTCTTGCTTGAGGTATTTCTTTTTAAACTATTTTTTAAATTAAAGAGGTACCCTATGGTTAAGGGACATTTTAGGTATTTTTGTTTATTGCTTAATTGTTCTCAATCTCATTGCAAATCTGGCTAAATAGTCAAAACCAATACAACTTGAAAATCTCAGCTGCTGAAAAATGGTCACAATTAAAAATTAATGAGTAAAGTTCCCCTAGGCTTTGTTCTTGGTTACTGTCTATAAGGAATCTCTCTATTCCCCACACCTTCTCTCTGGCTCCTCCAACCCTCTCAGCACCTGAGGAGCCGATGAAAACTTGAACACCTCCCTCTGAGGGCCAATACCAAGACATGGTTAGAGAGACAAAGGACTTTGACTCTCTGAACAAGGCCTGAGCATTTTCTAGAACATGATACTAGTCTGGAATTGAGTGGAACGGCTCTAAAGGAAAGAGAATGTTTAAGCCTTGGGGCATTTAAGCAGTAGGAATGTACATAAAAGGGCTAAAATAAAAGCCTATATTCAGAAGGTGGTTTCTCCTGGCTGAGCTACCTGTGGACAGGTTCTGAACGATGCCAGCTGCTGCCGTGTGGAAGATGATGTCGGCCCCGTCATTCAGGTAATGCAGGTTATTGCGACAGTCGAATCCTCTGTAGCCAAACACATGGTCGAGAGCCAGCTCCTACATTCCCACACAGAGATGAAAGCACCCTTAGAGAAGCGAGAGCAGAGGCACACACCCGCGGGACGGGAGCAGCCACCTCTCTCCCAGGAGGGCATGGCTGGTGAGACAACCAGCCACTCATCAGAAACAGTCTGCTTCTTGGCTAGCTGAGGAGAAAACGCAGCCTTTTCTTTAGCTCCTGAAATGCCAGGGGGACAGCCAACAGAGAGAATTAGAGTGAGCTTTCTAAATAAACAAGATTTGCTTCCCAACTCCTGAGGTGAGCCAGTGGGCCTGGGAGCTGTATATCTGCTTGGCAGGTGCTCTTTAGGAGAGCCGCACGTCGGCTCCGAGGTGTGCTCCGATGCCCCCAGATGCAGCTGGGACTGGCAGTGCACTGAGGCAGGTGCCATGCTCGTTCTGCTGCTTGTCCACAAAATTCTACACAATTCGCTTCTTTTCCCCCCAATGATTAAGATACTATTCTGGGTTTACAGCCTTTCTCTTCTTCTGTCTTGTCTTCCATGACAAAGAACAGTGGCCAATTCAGATCAGATCAGGTTTGACTCCCTTCAACACACCTGTATTGTTGGCAGCTCTTCTGTGTCAGGCACTATGCTGGCTGGTGGGATCCAAGATTAAGATGATATGGGCCCCTTTTCTGCAGGTTCCCCAATTCTAGCCTTTTCTGTCTCCAAAGCTCACCAACTGCAAACATCAGAGTGATTATCCAATAATAACTCACTACTTCCTTCCTTGAAAACGTTCAGAGTTTTACTGCCTATGAAATGAAGCCCAAACCCCTTAAGTTGGCACAATTAGCCTCTACTGGCATATCTGCTGGACCCCCTGTCAAGCTAACTTGTCTACTTAGCCCATGTCATGAGCTTTCCTGTCTTTATGACTTTGCTTCTTTAAATATCTCTCACCTGGAAAGCCCCTCTCCTCCTTTCAACTCAGTGTCTGCCCCCACCTTGGTCTCCCTACCCTCACGTGTTTCCCAGAAACTGTGTAATATTTGACCCCAGGCCTGGTGGACAAAAAACTCAAGCTGGGCCAACCAGATGGTTTCTCCCAGGTATTTAGAATTGGAGACACTGGTATTCTTGGCTGTTTAAGTAACTGAGGAGATGTAAACTCAGGTGCCAGGAAATACCCAGCATCTACGAGAGTAGTTCAAGAAGGCTGCAGAAAAAGGAATGCATCAGACACACACACAGGGCCCTGCTGGGCAGAAAGAGACACAATCTTGACTTCTGATGGCTTTTCAGCCCTTGGATCCCATTTTTCCTGAAGCTGACTACATTTCCTCACCTGGGCTGTGTTCCATGAAAAATTCCCCTACTTAATCTCTCTTTTCCAATAAAAATTTTAAGATGGATTTTCCTGGCCTAGGCAAGCTCCTAGTGTAGTGGGGGTTGGGGGACAGGTGACTAAGGAACAATGGCAGTAGTGTGTGTGACATGGGCTCTGGAGGAGGGGGTGGGGGTGCACAGGATGAAGGTGCTTAGGATGCAGAATATCAGGGAAGCCTACACAAAGAGGAAGTCAGAGAGGAGCTTGGAAGGACTGGAGTGTGGGGAGGGATGAGAAGGAGCCTTCTAAAGGGGTTTCCAAGGCAGCTTCAGAGAACATTAAGTAATGGGTTTGGGGTTGGAGATTAAGGGGCCATTGAAAATCACAGGTAAAGATCTTAGAAGGTGGCTCTTGTGTAAGGTTTTGAAACCACTGGCAATGTGGGAATTTCCTGGGTCTTGCAGCTGGGGTGAGACGTGAAGAGTGACATTTCAAAGAGCTAACTCTGGGCAGCCAGGTATGGATAAGAGAGGGAGGGCAGTCTGAGGCAGAAAGATGGTCAGGAGGCCTCTCTGGGAAAGGGGCAGGTCAGCTGGAGCTGCAATCCATCAGGGCTCAGCGACTGAGCTCAAATCCCCCTCCACGCACCAGCTGGTGATTTGGGGCACGGGGCCTAACAGGTCTCTCAGCTTCTCTGAGCTATAGTGTCCACATCTACCAAATGGGAATGATGCTAGTACTACCTCATAGGTGTGAGGAATGTAGGAAACACTTCATGGGAAGTACGCGGCACAGTACCTGGCACACGGAAGCTCAAACACCATGAGAGACCATGAATAAATGCCTGCTCTCCCACTCTCGCCCCTCCCCACACCCCTACCCCTCCACCCCGAGGGGTACTAGGTACAGGGAAAAATAACTGGGTTCTAAGGACATGGGACATCTTCAAGTTAGTACCAAGAGAACTGGTGGCAGGGCTGAAGAAATGTGACCAGTGGGTGTGATCCTGGTCACTGGGATGTGGGGCACAGTGCTGTGTGGGAGGGAGAGGGGACAAGGGAGAGCTATCAAACCCACTCAGGTTCACTGAAGGTACCCGGAGGACATGCAGATGGTGGTGTCCACCAGGCAGATCTAAGAATGTGGATATCAGATTAAAAGTAAAATAGTTTCACCACCTCACCTCTACCAGCTTCTTTTTTTTGGTGATGTTGTTCTTCTGGAGTTTCTCAGGCTGGGGAGCTGCTCTGCTGACGGGCGGCCTGGAACAGAGGGGCCAAAGGCAGGACAGTGCTGAACCCAGGGCAGCAGGGCTGCTTGGCAGTGCAGGCAACTAAGGCCGATGCCAAGCTCCCCTCTCCCCTCCCCAGCTCAGAGGACGCTCCACCTGTGTGGGTTCCATCTGGCCCCCTCCCTTACCCCTCTCCCCCTTAGCAAAAGTAGGGTCTGTGTGACCTGGCCCGGATTCACAGGCACGGAGGTGGGTTCCCCACACCTAAAGCACACAGTCAGGGATTAGGCCCTCCTGGGAGCCAGGGAGAACACATAAGCCAGAGCAACTGATTTCTTCCTTAGAGGCCATGCTTCCTGAACCCAATGGCCATTTTCCAGAAGGGATTTGCCAATGTTGCTCAGAATTAGGTGGTCAAAGATCACAGTCTGTGTGAAGTAGGACTTAGAAGTCAGGCCTGAGGATGGGCCCTGATAGTCAAGTGCCCAGTCGTTCTCACTACACACGAGGGCAAACAGGAAGTCAAGACTAAAAGAACCCCTATTTTGCCTTTTCCCTCAGGCTTATGGTCTATGTTAAACTGCTTTTCCCTGCTCACTTTTAGAGATCTGGGCCTCCAAATTTAACTACAAGATTTTATAATGGGTAAGCCCTAATGGACTCTTAGATGAATGGGCCAATTTTTTGTAACATGAGTGTCCCTTAAATCGGACTTCTCAGAGTTTAGGAAACCAGGGATGAGTTGGGGAACCTGAGCCAGCTCCTGTAGAGTGTCCCAAATCCATTAGTTCCTGCCCTGGGGCTGTGCAAAGAGAAAGAATTACCTTGATCCCCTTGTAAGCAGCAAACAAAGCCAAGTGAGAAATTTAGTAGGGTTTAGTGCTGCATTAGCAACCACCTCATTCATGCACAAGCATTTTCCAAGTGAACAGACATTTTTATGTGGCACAAACCATGCTTCCCGAGCATGCTAGCAGAGAACTAAAACAGAAATGAAAGAGTGCACCAGTCTACACAGTCAGAAAGCTCATACCCTGGCGTCTCTGGGCAAACTCTGCACTAAAGCGCCTACAGAATAGGGAGAAAAAAGGAAGCCTTGTCAATGCTTCCTGCACACTCTGTGTGGTTTTACAAACGTGCTTGAAGACTGCTTATTTTAGAGTGTGCTGGGGAAAACCTTGCTGTCAGAAAAACAGTAACATCCTCCTGGATGTCACTAGGAGTTATGCACAATGGATGCTTTGTTCCCAAATCAAGTTCAGCTCATAATTTAGCCTAATAATTCCCAGTGTTTCTTGGTAGGGCAGCTTGCTGCTGGAATGGCTTGCATTTTTGTGCTGGGGAAAAACAAAATACCTTTATTTTCTCAGAAACTCTTCAATCAAAACATGTTATGTAATCATAAGTGATAATGGAACCAAATGGTATTATAATCACCACGGAAGAACGGATAGAGAGCACATCTCTGCAGAATGACACCCCCGGCTGATGTCATCACTGCCAAATTGAGCAAAACAGGGAAGCTAGGGGCTTGCCAGTTCTCACAATCAGACACTTCCTTCACATTAATTATCACTTCCCAGGACATCTGCTCTTTCTTCTGTTTTAGTGAGACTTTCAAATGAAATCCGTGGATTTCTTCTTTTACCTAAGAATGTTTAAGTGTATGACAAAAGCAAGCCAAGGTCTGAGACGGGAGCAAAAGGCACTAGGACTACAGCATGGCTCATGACGGCAGAACTGGAGGTAAGGGCAGGGCTCATTTTCAGGGTACACACAGGTTGTATAATATGTCACATATTATACAGTGTCTACAGAGTATGCATACACGCACAAACACTGTGCTCTGATATATACATGAGATTGTATATATACACACAGAGAGGCAGTCTGATGCTTTTTTTCACCTCGATTTTCAGTTAAAAACTGAAAGGTAAAGCAATGTCAGAATGTTTCTTTCTTTTTTCACAAGCATATGGTTATAGCTGTGTTGCTTCAGAACCGGAGATGAGAGGGGCAAAAGGAAGAAATCTGCACTGTGGCAAGTTCAGCGGATTCTAAGTACAGACCCTTTGCGGTTGTGGATTCTGCATGAACGCTCAGTACTGGATGCGCATCAAACACCCGGGCTTTTCCAGAGTGCTGTGAATACTTACTTGACAATTCCCTGCCTCCAAAGGAAAGCAAGTTAAAACACAATACAAGCATTAAAGGCTTCTTTCCAGGCATCTATAAACAGTGCTCATAACATCAGACGTGGGAGGGACTGCCAAAAATTTAAACACAGTCAAATGCTGGAGGTTCAGCATTTTTCAGGGGCTCTAAATTCCTTCCGATTTAGATTCCATTGGAAATGTGATTCTGAAAAGCTTCACTGAGGTGGAAAAGAGTAGAGTACATGAGAACACTCGGTCACTGTTCAGCCCAATAAATAAACTCTTCTGCAGCCAGTTGTTCCGAGCGGGCACGAGAGATGAGAGAGTGAGGAAGGCAGTGAGCATGACCGGGAATTAGCAGAGACTCGGCAAGGCCGAGAGCTGGGAGGCCGAGGGGTGGGGATTGGGGGTGGAAGGAGCAGAGACTCAAAGGGGTCACATGGGGGCCAGTGGGGGTTTGCAGCCACTCAGGAAACAAAGGAGAAGAGAATTTCCACCGGGAAAGAAATTTAAGGAGGGAGCCTGGCAAGAGAGCAAGTGACTTGGATGATCAGGAGAGAGGAGTCCACACAGGCCTGAGTTTGGAGAGAGCAGGAAAGGAGCTTTGCCAAGGAAAAGAGGGCGGAGGCAAGGAACCCAAGGAGAGGCTGTGCACTCAAGCACGTAGCTTGGTGTTAAGTGCTTGAGGTGCAGCCGGCTGAACACCCACCCCACACCTGTGGGAAGAGTCCCTAACTGTGCCCTCATGTCCCCGGTGGAAAGGGCACATTCTGGGGTAGGGAAGGACATGGGAAGGTCAGTCCCTGCTGTAATCCCATTGTCCAGCAGCTGGGCTGCTGAAGAGAAAGTTAGGTTCACTTGAAGAAGTATGGAGTGCTACCCTGACCAGGCTCTCACCCAGTAAGGCCCCCAAGAGTGGCCAGGGCCCAGGTATTCACCCCCGGCCATGCTGGCCTGGCAAAGTGAGGCGTGGACCAGAGCACAGAATGATATGGGATGCACGGAAGAGGGTTCAGAACCAAGGCTCTTAGGAAAGCTTCTGAAAATCAGTCACAACCCCAGATGAGGGTGAGGTGGGAGCTGACTAGGGAATAAGGCTCAGAAAACTGGTGAGAAACTAAGTTGTTGCGAGCAGCTTCTATAAAGAGCAGTGTAGGTGTGGAAAAACTCAGCTTTGCTTAGCCAGAAAATGCAAGTATTAAAAAGTGCTATTCGCCAGACAATATTCAAAGTGTCCTTAGCAGAAATGTAGCTTTCTTCAGATTCCAAAGTGTACCATAAAATGCTCCCAGGGTTTTCAAAATGTCTTAGGAAACCAAACACTCATGCCAAATTGTGTTTGTACATGTGCACTTTTCTGGGGAAAGGAGGCATGTTTTAATCAGATTTTTAAAGATACTTGTGATCTGAGAGATTAAGAACCACTGCTCTCGGATAAGTCCAGGTTTAGGAAAATTCTCCAAAGTCATGGGGGTGTTTTATTATCAAAACAAAACCCACTAGGTTCTGTTCAATGTGCTGCCATGTCTTCCACCATCACCTGCAGGGCTGCTCAGAGGTGAAGTGGAGATGGAAAGACAAGAGTGAGGCAGGAGTGGGTGCCCTGAAAGGAGCCTGACGTCTGAAAGTGCTCTTCACTGAAACCTCTAACAGCCCCCCTCCTTTTATTAAATATAGATATAATCCCAGACTTGGCCATTTTAAGTGAATATCAATTTATTTGGATGAAAAATTGAGGGCATAAAGGATGAGTGGAAAGGGCTCTGAGTGGACAGACTATTGAAGTGACCACCACAATAATCCAAGGGAAGGATAGTGAAGACCTGGACCAAAGCCGTGGTTGTAGAGAAGTAAACAAGTGAATATTTAAGGGCATGTTGGCGAAGCAGACTTCCGGAGTCTTGTAATTGATTAGATCTAGGGAATGAAGGAGGAAGAGCAAGTCAAGTGAACACCAGTTTTCTGCTTGGACATCTGGGAGGATGGTGGCACCATTAATTGAGATGGGAAGTAATTTATGAGGAAAGATGATGAGTTTAGTTTCGGCATCTTAGAGTTCGGACATCTGTGAGTTGGCTGTAAGAGCTGGAAGCTCAACCAAGAAGCAGTACGTAGAGATATGACCTTGGGAACCATCCGCCAATGGATGGAATAGGTGAGATTAATCAGGGAGAGGGTGTAGGGTGAAAAGAGGATGGTCAAAGGTGAAATCCTGGGGGCCAACAGCATGTGAGGGGCTGGAAAAGGAAGCAGCAGTGGGACACTGAGAAGGAGAGGCTGGGGAGGCAAGGGGGGGTCAGGAGACGGTGTTCCCAAGAGGGCCAGTGAAAGAAGAATGTTTATACCTTCACTGTCTAGTGTGGTAGCTACTGACCACATGTGGCTACTGAGCACTTGAAATACGACGAGTCCTCAGTGTGCTATAAAATACGCATCAGATTTTGAAGACCTAGTAAAAATAATTTTTTAAAAATTATGAAATAACATTAATACTTTTTATATTGATTACATATCAAAATGGTCGTATTTCTTACATATTGGGTTAAATAAAATATGTTGTTAAACTTACTTTCACCATTTATTTTGACTTTTTAAATGTGGCTTCTAGAAAAATCACATTTGTGATTTACATTACGTTTCTGTTGGTCAATGCTACTTTAGAGGAAGCAGGTTCTGCCTTTTAACAAGACAAAAGACAAATTCCACTGGATGGAAGACAGATGGAATGGGCTGGAGAGTGAAGGACAGACTTGGCAAAGCCTGAAGGGAAAGACGGTGAGGGCGGGAACATGTGTAAAAGATCAGTCAAAGGATTTGTTTATTTCTTGAAGAGAGTTGGGAGGGGATGGGAAAGGCCAGAATGTGTTTCTTGGAT